CCTCCTGTTGAAGCTCCACTGTTTTAAATAAATTGTATTGGTAGATTTAATATCACTGAACATATTTTTGCTTGTTAAGCATCATAGAACATAACCGTTTATCATTTATTTGGGATTACGCAGGGGTCATTTTTGAAAGTTTTTTTTATATCTAAAGATTAAGTGATGGATAATAAATAAGTAAAACATCATATATTCGGTGACATCGAGAGCATTTTATACGATTTCAACTGAAAATAAGACTAAAATGGACTCCAAACTCACGGTGGGGGGTATAACTCATTAAACATTATTTTTAAAATTTATTGTTAAAGTCTAACGATTTAGATTAGTCTATATTAGTTGTAATTACACCATTGATTTTTTCTAGATTTCTGCTTCTGGAGAAAATGGCCGAGACTTAAAAATGACTAAAATTGCGTATTTTTTTCCTATTAATTGCAATATTTCTGAGACTAATACAGATATCGGCCTATAACTTTAGGATATTATTCATCTTTGGACTAGTAATGTGTGCTGTAGAAAGCAGAACAATAGCAACTATATCCTTTATGTTATGAAATAATCTTATAGTACCCCCTGAAATCGCAGGAATTGAAGTCCAATTCGGCCGTGAAAATTGTTTTTACCACTTTAAAGGCCATCACCTTATATTTTCTTACACCTACTAGGTTACTCTAACATACTGCATTGCCAAAAGTTACTTCTTGTAAACTTCCGGCAAAACTGTGCCAGCATCTGATACAACTGTAATATCTGTAATACTAGGCATTGCCTGCTACGCGTAAGGGTCACGTGACTAGCGCGATACAGGAAAAATGGGGAATTTCGAAACAACAATTTTTGGGCACTTTTATTGCAAATTTCAGGTATTTATAAGTGTTTGTGGTATAAAATATAATCCACAGACATAAATGAACATCCAAACTACATATTTTATTACGTTTTGGAGCCTTTTTTGCTTTTAAAATGACATCTTTAAAAATGACGCGCAGTCATTACAGACTTTTTGCGAGGAATTTTATTTATCGTACAAGAAAAATACCACATCCGTGCTTCGTACTTGCAATATAACTGAATTATAAGGTGTCGGATGCGTTCTAGGTGCAAATCACAATAATTATAACCTGACGATGAGGGAGCGGCAACTTGTGTCAAGTGTAAACTGACTGTAATTGTTAAGTTTCAATATGACATGCATCTGACACCCCCGCTCTAATTTCCAAGTTAACGTGATGAAAAATACTTTGCCTGCATTAGGGTTAACTGTGAATTGAGGTACGAGCATTGAGACAACGTACATTAGAATTGACAATGTACATTATGTACAAAATACAACTACGCTTGCTACACATAAGAAGGAGTATACAGGTATGTCATGGTCCATGCTTGGTATAGCTACGTCTGCTACGGGTATTTTATTGAAAATAAGCCCAGTATAGTATGGTATGTTGACTACGCCAACTACACCAAAACATGAGTCTATAGGTATGCATACACACTGTAGGGCCCACCCTAGGTGTACCTACGTCTGCTACGGGTATTTTATTGAAAATAACCAGGTCATTATGTTGACTACGCAAACTACACTTGCTACACCAAAACAAGCATACACCCTGTAGGGTCCAGACTAGGTATAACTACGTCTGCTACGGGTATTTTTTGAACAAAACCACATCATAGTATGTTGACAACGCCAACTACGCTTGCTACACCAAAACATTGGTCTATAGGTATACATACACACTGTCATGCTCCACCCTAGGTATAGCTACGTCTGCTACGGGTATTTTATTGAAAATAACCACATGATAGTATGTTGACTACGCCAACTACGCTTGCTACACCAAAACATTGGTCTCTAGGTATACATACACACTGTCATGGTCCAACTTAGGTATAGCTACGTCTGCTACGGGTATTTTATTGCAAATAACCACATGATAGTATGTTGACTACGCCAACTACGCTTGCTACACCAAATCAGTGGTCCATAGGTATACATACACACTGTCATGGTCCACCCTAGGTATAGCTACGTCTGCTACGGGTATTTTATTGAAAATAACCACATGATAGTATGTTGACTACGCCAACTACGCTTGCTACACCAAAACATTGGTCTATAGGTATACATACACACTGTCATGGTCCACCCTAGGTATAGCTACGTCTGCTATGGGTATTTTATTGAAAATAACCACATGATAGTATGTTGACTACGCCAACTACGCTTGCTACACCAAAACATTGGTCTATAGGTATACATACACACTCTCATGGTCCACCCTAGGTATATAGCTACGTCTGCTACGGGTATTTTATTGAAAATAACCACATGATAGTATGTTGACTACGCCAACTACGCTTGCTACACCAAAACATTGGTCTATAGGTATACATACACACTCTCATGGTCCACCCTGGGTATAGCTACGTCTGCTACGGGTATTTTATTGAAAATAACCACATGATAGTATGTTGACTACGCCAACTACGCTTGCTACACCAAAACATTGGTCTCTAGGTATACATAGGCTACACACTGTCATGGTCCACCCTAGGTATAGCTACGTCTGCTACGGGTATTTTATTGCAAATATCCACATGATAGTATGTTGACTACGCCAACTACGCTTGCTACACCAAAACAGGGGTCTATAGGTATGCATGCACACTGTAGGGCCCACCCTAGGTATGTCTACGTCTGCTAGTATGTTTACTACGCCAACTACGCTTGCTACATCAAAACATAAGTCTATAGGTATACATACACACTGTAGGGTCCACCCTAGGTACATCTGTACGTCTGCTACGGGTATTTTTATTGAAAATAACCACATCATAGTATGTTTACTACGCCTACTACGGGTTATAATGAAAACACGCGCTACGCGCTAACGCGCCACGCGCCAATGCGCTAATAGAAAATGATCCTTCCCCCACGATGTGTGCGCATGTTTTAAGCGCATGTTTATGATTGGTCTATACCCTTGGCCCAGGGACATGTATAATTAGGGTTATGACTCCCTGGGAACTTGTCAAAACATTGACACTTCAAAGACTGTATAAATCACCGCTAACCTGTCAATCAGACTTTGATGTGAACTTTGCGGCCGCAGGAAATAAACAAAGCCTCTCGAAAATTACACTTTTCAAGTTACGATTTTTTTAAAAATATAAGACCAATTAAGATGTTCTTCACACCGTTAAAAAACAGAATTCAACTTCAATTTAGGAAATAATTCCAAAACTAAATGAACGTGTACTTTTCTCTGTATTTGACCTGAAAGAACATGAGTAACTTAGAATTAATAAATATTTACGGCCAATTACCGGACAATGATAAAACACGCTGGTCGGGTTTACATTACTTTTTAAATCGTCTCTTATTTAAAACTTTAATTCCAAATGAAATACAACCCTGTTTTCAACAATATTCCTGGTAAAATAGGTAATACAATTCACTGGGACTGACGTAATTCAAAACTTTTTAAATCTAAAATCAAATTGAGAAAAACGAAAGCAAACATGAAAGGGGGGTTCATAGGGGTCTTGGAAATCCATAGTACACAGCCCCGAAGCCAGGGGGGTTCGGAGGGTGACTTTGGAATTTTTGAAAAAGTGACCCCCCCCCCCCCCCTGGGAAATCCTGGTTACTGTCCTGGCATATGGCATATAGAGACTACTATGTATATAGAGATCTGGATTACCCCCATAAATGTGGGACTGATTTTTCAAATCACCCCCACAACCAGGCCCGTAGCCAGAGGGGGAGCTGGGGGAGCGGAGCTCCCCCTCTGGCCAGAGATTCTTTCAAAATCATGCAGTTTTTCACCATTCTGAGAATTTTCATGATTATTAGCCAAAATTGTGAAAAAGCTTCCCCTGCCTGGAAAAAAGCTGGCTACGGGCAAGCCCCCGCAACTACTTGTGTATTGAAATCCCAAATTTATGGGGATAAGCTGGATCTGCAGTATTCGTTCAAACTGCCTTAAATTTCATAATAGGCTTCTTTAATTCTTTTAAAACATATGTTTATTTAACTTATACGATGCCATATACGATAAATGTTGCCCCCTCTTATGCGGCCATACACAATAGATTTTCACCCTCCTCTTAAACGATAACCCTATACACCCCCCCCCCCCCCCATGAAAGCGAAAGAGAGTAACCGGGCACGAAAAGAAAAATGGAAAAATATAAATGCGATGCCTGAATTATCCCACCGTTTGGTAAGTCATGTGAGATATAACTTCAAATACAAAGAGTAAAGATATATAAAACATCCATGACTTGATATTAAGAGGTAACACGAGGTAACATGCGACAAATAAACATTATATTAAGTCATTAGTCAAGTAGTCGGGCCCCCGGCTCAGATTTCGAAACGGGATTTTTCTCGCCGATGGATGGACCCAAATAATGCAATGAAATAGGGAGCATATTCGCATATCTGCGACCATTCATCTTGTAAGGTGCTACTTTCTATCTTCCTTTTAAATCAGATAAAACACACTGACAATCGATAATCTGCACAGTTAACGATCAAACATTGGGCTTCTTCATACTTCTGCTTTCTGATGAGCCACCTAATCTCTTCACTCACTCGATGTTTATACATCATGTTCCCGGGCCTGTGGGAACGATCATTCTGAACAGTGCGTTAGTGCGCTAGCGCGTTAGCGCGTAGCGCGTGTTTTCATTATAACCCCTACTACGCTTGCTACATCAAAACATGAGTCTATAGGTATACATACACACCATAGGATCCACCGTATGTATAGCTACGTCTGCTACGGGTATTTTATTGAACTAACTACATGATAGTATGTTGACTACGCCAACTACGGATAATGCACTCGTGAATAACATTTCAAATTTCCCGTGTGGGTGATACGAATGATACACTTGTATTTGCATTTTTAAAATTCCCGTGTAGGTGAGCATGGCACAAGAACCAAACATTTCTCGTTAAATCTCGCCCAAACTCACGCAATGGAGATTTAGAAAATTTAGAAAATTGTAGTTTCAGAATAAATTAGTATATCTTCTAAAAGGTATATAAGTATATACTATTAGTCAAAATAAATTACTGAGGTAGCACTGTATAATATCTAGCGTAATATACGAAATCGATGACACCAAAAAGTGAGTAGAAATCCATAAATCTTATCATATCAGGACGACCGACCATTTCAGGCATTTGTTCGACTGTAAAAGCCGGGGTAAAAGCTTACAGTAAAATTTTAAATGTTGGAACTACTTTGGATCTAAAAAATAAGCAATCAAAGGATCATATTGAAATAGAATATGTAAAAATATAAAAACATTTACAGTACATGTGCACAGGTAAGTAAACACCTTGGTTTAAATGTTATTACATCTTGCCAAATTTTGAACACCTCAAATTTTTCGCGCTCGCTACGCTCGCGTTTAAAACATCCGTCAACGGGGGGGGGGGGGGGGGGGGTAGGTACGAAAACTTTCGAACGGAATGCGTGACATATACGTAATTCGCGTGAAAAGTCCGAACGAAATGCGTACATTTTTTTCCGGCGTTCGTATATTTGCTGTGTAAACGATCTTTTTTAGAAATTTTTCTACAGAAATATTTTTGCTTGACAATTACCAGGTAAAATGCGTAATGTCACGCAAAAATAACTGGCGTGACTTCAAATTCTTCAGCAAATGCGTGACAAATACGCAAATTGCGGGACAGTTGACAGGCCTGGTAAGTCACCTATTGTAAAATGTGGTGTTGTATAAATGTTACAAATAAGTTTGTTTAATGATAAAATGATTACCTTATGAAGAACTCACAATATTATTTTTTCGTATATTGTCCTCTTACTGAAGATATTCATAAAATGTACAGACGCTTCTTGTAGCGAAGCCATTGATTAGGTCAAGCCATTTTGGCAATGCCAATTCTCACGATAAACGAGATTTAGCCAGTGACGTCAGTCTATTTGTAAACAAATAACACGTGGAGCGGGAGCAACATTACGGAAGCGTATTGCTAAATTCCATTTGTGCGGGAATTTATTAGATCTAGTCATTTATTATCATTATCCCGATTAATTTTCTTCATTTATAGTAAATAGAGCGGAAATATTCATGAAGAAGGCCGAGGTAATCAAGTGGTCATGTGTTGTCAAAGTTCAAAATTTGCATATCTCGTTTGGATCTCGTGAACTCAAACGTCCTTGACATTGATTTCGTGATCTACTTATGAACACATCCTGAAGTTTCGGTGAGTCTGAACATTTCATTATTTTATATCAACTTGTACCCGCCTTATACAAATATTTTTGCTTCTAGTTTAAGATGAACATCTCTTCAACATATTCACCAATTTTCAAGGTGAACATTCTTATAATAAACGAGAAATTAATGTGCAAAAAATATCACCGCGATTTCCATAGGAAATATATCAATCATAACAGACCGAATATTATATTCGGTCTGTTGGATACATACTACTGATGTATGGCCTCTTGAAAATTCTCTTATTTTTAACATGGGAAATTCTCACTTCAGCAAATCCACCTGTCATTTATTTATGTCCCGAACTGTACATTGAATTTCAATTAGAGTAAGTATAGATGTCATGCTAGGATGAAAACTATTCAATTGATCAAAATAAACTTCAATTTATGAATATAAATACACATTTGTTTGTAGTTTTGCTATATCCACTGTAGTATGTACAGTGATCGCCTACTACTACAAGTCAGTGCGTGATCAAAGACTCGACAAGATGCGCAAAATTCAAATATTTTGTAACGGTTATTTTTAAAAGATTTATTTGTGTTTATATTACAGGCTACTGGTGATTCAATTAGGTTTTGTTTACTCGAGTCTCTAGCCAATTCGTGGCTAGAAGTAATTTCATCTGGAACACCTTGAACTATTGTTAAATTTCTAGGCGGGGTTCAATATATTTAAATAATATTCTAAAAACCGTCATGTTAATATTTCATGAATTGAAATGGAACGGGCTAGGTTCCTTGATGAGATATTGCATGATTTCGTCAGGATTTTATCTAAAGTTAAAACAAACGGCTCCAAGAAAAATGGCGATATTCGAAAACTGGACGAAATGTCACTAACGTCTGACATTAGTAACTGGCTGTAAATTCTAAGTTAGCAATCCAGAAGATGTGAACTAATACATTGATCACTTCATGTGTGTTTTGGAATTTATGGTGAGGTTATAAGACCAAAACTCGCAATTCAAATGTTGATGTGGAAAAATGGCGAACATTTGATTTCAAACATTTATCTTTGGACGAAGGCCACGATATAGTAGCCCTGGAAGAAGGTAAGGTTTTGTAAGCACAAAACCACCCATATGCTTTGAGAAATATCAGTTTGGCCATTTTTCGTATATGTTATTGATTTTATGATGTAAAGATATAAATGCGATATAATATGTGTTATTTTATTAAAAAGCTTAAAATAATTAAAACAATAGAACATTTTTACTTTAATTTTTTATACTTTGGTAGGGTCTTGTGCTTCCATTTGACCATGATGATATTCATGTTTCCTCTTAAATAACACTGGAATAAATATTTTAACACAGAAACGAATGGATCAGCTTATAAAGTGAGTTTCAGCAAACCATACACCCATAACTGTATGCTTTCCAAGAGAAGAAAAATGGGGTTTCTCGCAAAATGTGCTTCCAAAATAAACATGTACATCACTGTTCACTGACTCAGTCGATTAAATGGTCACTGTGTGTTTGTACATTTTGTTTTTCTGCCTGGGTTTGAATACATTACCCTGAAATGATATACACTGTACAGTAGAATTTGCTTAGTGAAACACCTTGAAGCGGAACACCTTGTAAGTAGAACAGTTTTTTTAAAGTCCCATTTCAGTCCATTTATTTAACCCTCGTATTCCAAGGTATGAGAACTTTACACCCTGGCATCCAAGATGATTGTAATGCAAGAATTGAATAAATCATAAATGATACAATTCATTTATGTCTTCTTGTCATCTAGGGCTAAGAATAATGTAGAAACATTGATGTAAAACAGTGGAATTCAATGTTTCAAAACATGGAGGGTCCTCAAAAATGTTGAGAAGTAACTGCACTTCAGGTTTACTATCAATAGAGATCAATGGATGGTGTTCACTGTGCTGTTGCAATATAGTCATTTGATTGCTTATTTTTTAAATTCAAAGTAGTTCCAAACATTTAAAATGTTACTATAGGCCTACAATAATCTGTAGTTATAGATTAGCCGAGTATAGACGAGAATCGATTCATGATTAATCAAACAACAGTCAATCATTGATTGATCATTAAAACTTTATAAAATGATTATGATGATAGAAAATTGTTGATATATATATAATATTGTAGCACACCAACATCTACGGCAGGAACATGGAGTATGATCCCCCATTGACACGTCGTCATTTGGACCCTAATCGATTTGATAATATAACACTATCATCATCATCAACGATGTCTGAACAAAATATGCGGCCATCAACAGGCAGGGAAAATGGATTTGGTGGTGAAAGACAAAATAGTCAGTGTGAGTATTTCTTGAATATTTCATCAGTAGAATCTAGTAAGAGAAATGTGCAAGCTGCCAATGGTAAATACAGCATGGACAATTTACGTGTATCTTTCTAACATTTTTGTGATAAACATATTGTATTTACATGAACCTTCTTCCAAGATCATAGTGTATACTCACCAGGATACTCACCTTATATCAGAATTATAAAGCCACTAACTTATTATTTATTTCTCGTTGCACTTACTTTCTGGACACCATATGTCTAAAAACATGGTCAAAATACCCTCTGACGGCAAAAGGCTAACACATTGAATAAACAGAATTTTATCAATACCTGATTGTATGATTACTGTCTCAAGAATGAGAGTTCATATCTCCGTCTTCATAATTTTTTTTTTTTTGGTGAGCATTGTTTGATGACATCCAGAAAAAGGAGACCATTTTGCTGCTATAGCAAATTGAAGATCAACAATTTTAGATGTTTTTAAATATGACAGACCATTGTTCCAGATGAAATAGGGTGCTTTGTCACTTCTCATCTGACATTGATCACTTTAATTTCAAGATAATCGCTTCATAGATTGAATTCAAAGTGAATTATATTTAGTTTACAATAACACACAGTGTTCCCAAATGTAGTGATATCTAGCCAAATTTTGTTGTCTACAGACTTGAGTAGTACCGTATAGGCTATTCATCCAGAGACAATTTTTCACGGACTCCTTGGTCAATTATTTAGGTTATTTATTAACTTAAGTTATTCCCAATATGCAAGGGCTTAAATTAGCAATACCGAGGAGTAAGTCAATGTAAAAAGGTGTGTGAGTTATCTACTGCCTGAATATCAAACAGACAATATGGAATTCCAGGATATAGGAGATATGATGCTTTTATCAACTGAAATCATTTGTCATTAGAATTGATCTGAGAATATTTGTTTTCATTCATTGAACTTAAACAGAAAAGTGACAGGTGAAAAAGAATTACTTTTTGGTAAAAAAATAAAAGGTTGTTTTGTCAGGGGTACTCATCACTTGGGGATAAGTCAGGGGATTTTTATTTGTAAATCATGTCTCAACATCAAGATCACAAAAAATCATATGAATCTAATGTATGTTTTCTATTTATAGGCAATGATAGAACAACCTTCACAAAGCTACGTAGTAAAAATAGTCATGGAATACAATCTTTCATCTACCTGGGTCTCATCTTTATATGTGCTGTCCTTATCCTCTATGTTCTTTATGTGCAGTTCCCTAAACTAGACAAGTAAGTACTCAGTTGTATAATTAGGTCCTCAGTCTAACTACATATTTCAAAATGATTGGTCAAAGGCAAACTATTGACCATGCAGGCCCATAGCCAGAATTTTCCAAGGGGGGGTTAGTTTTTCGAAAAATTTCTAGGGGGGGTTCACTTTGGCAAATATTGCCAAAAATCACTCAAAAATTAGTCAGAATGGTGAAAAACTGCATGATTTTGAAAGAAATTTTGGCCAGGTTCGCCCAAACCCCCCCGAACCCCCCCCCCCCCCCCCCCCCCCCCCCCCCCCGCTGGCTACGGGCCTGACACAAAAAGCATTGTCAATTTGATAATTCACTTTTTCAAAATATGTAGGTAACTGAAAAGAGAAATAAGATGTTGAATTTCATTCACCTAATGAAAAGTAGTCATTGACTAATTGTACTCATATGTGGCAGATAAATGGTACTTATACAGTGACGCATATGTCTGATAAACAAATCTAGGAAAATATCACAAAATCACCCAGACCTATATAATAACATAGCAATGGTTGTTATGATAGAAATGACACAATACATGTAAACCTAGTATGATAACATATACCTTTCACATGATTTTGCCATTGAAAGGATTAACAATTATCAATATCAATGTAATTTTTTTCAATGTTATTGGCTATTCTATGCTTTTTGCTAGGCTTACTCATTGTTGTTGATAGAGAATATCAACCCAAATGAAATCACATTACTGTAATGATTGCATTGTTGTTGGTATTTTTACAGAGATGAAGTCCAGTATGTCAAGTTGCCTAGAAATATAGAAGATGCCAAGAACTTAGGACGTGTTCTCTCTAGGTACAATGATAAGCACTTCAAGAAGGTGATCGGAGGCTACTTCATCATATACATATTGTATCCTTTCACAACAGCTAAACATGTTTCTTTCAATTATTTTACTATTTTAGATAAGATTTTTAAAAGCCTAAGAACCTATCACCTTTATATACATGTACACAAACTAGTGGTTTGTTTCCTTTACACTAATCAGCTTGCAGACATTTGCAATTCCAGGGTCCATTTTTCTCAGTATAATAGCAGGATATCTCTTCAGTTTTCCACTAGCCTTATTTGCAGTATGCCTGGTAAGAATATTATACAAATATTTAATTCTGTTGAGGTGAATACCTGTGCATCTTCTTGTGAAAGTGTCACAGGTATTCACTAGAAATGGAATCACTGTTATATTTATCACTCACATTATTGGAATAACAAACTATTAATGTCTAATTGATCATAACAATGTACTCCGCTGATATATAAAATTAAAATTACACTGGACTAAATCCGATGGGTGAATATCATTTGATATTCAACGGAAGTCATGTGAAAACTATTCCGTGTTATAGAATAATCAAGTAATAAAAGCTAGCATTAAAAAGTGAGCCAATAGAAGGGCCAAGCATTTTTTTTAAAACCTCATTGTATCTTTGTTGGCGAATATTATGGTGGATATAGCCCATTAAATGACCAAAGCCAAAGAAACTTGTCTTTAATACATGAGTGGAGGAGAAGATGACATCTTCATGATTGGTTTATTATCCCACCGAACATAGTTCGCTGTATTTGTAGTTCTTCACTTTACCCTCACTTAACTTATTCCACACATTTTAATGGAAAGTTTATTCGAATAATATATTTCTATCTTTATATTCCAGTGTTCTTCATTGGGCGCATCTTTCTGCTACTCATTGTCTTATCTAGTCGGCAACATAGTTGTGAAGAAATTTGTGCAAAGTCAAAAAGTTGATGAATGGAAAAAACATGTAAGTATAAGTACAATTTAGTCATTACCCATCAAGAATGACGGGTTGATTCAAAATACCATTTATATACAATTATTTCAAAATATCACCAGATTTCACAAATCGTGCTTAAGATATAGCAGCATTTAATGGATGCTATCATATCTTTATTATTTCCATTAATGTTTCATTTGCATTAGGATATGCTCCAAGGGTAATGTGTATGAAAGAATTTAGAATGATGAATACATCCTTGTTTCCTGCATTAAAATTCTAGAAAAGTGATCTGGAAAATCGAAAACAAGCAGATTGTCTGCAAAATAAAACCATAAATAAATTAAAAGCACTGATAAAGGAGACACAAAAATGCATTTCTCAATTTGGAATAACTTTGTTAACAATAAGAAAATCTGCTTATTTTCTATACAAGGCTGTCTTCACTTATCCTTCCTTATTATACGATTATGTTTTGACTTGACAAACCAACTACATGTACGTTTAGATGGCTTTTATTCAGAATGTGTTTATATTTAGTCCATGTGTGCTGTTGAAGGTCCTTCTTGAGCCTCTATGCAAGAGATGACTGTGAATGATCAGTTTTATTGTGAGTTTTCCTAATGAGAAAGTAAAAGGGCAACATTTGAAATAGTCAGTTTCTTTTTAGATGCTTGATGTTTGTTTGGAAACTTAATTCGCAAAATTGGATACCAAACTTGTATATAGCAAGGTTATTAGCCATTTTAAACTGAACTAAAATGAAAATGATAATGCTTTTAAGGTTGGATGTGAATTTTATATGTAAGTCTCTTTTTCAGGTTGAAAGGAACAGAGAGCACCTGCTGAATTACATCATCTTCCTACGCATAACACCATTCCTTCCTAACTGGTTTATCAACATTACATCGCCCGTCATAGATGTTCCCCTCTTTCCTTTTGCCCTCGGAACATTTATAGGTAAGATATAGAGTTTACAATTTCAGTTTGGGATATAGTTAAGCCCTCCAAGTCTTTTGACTGCAAATTTTGAATCATTTTTTCTGATTCGTGCCTTGGAAAATCCAAAATGGGACTCAATTGGACTTCATGGCACTAAGTCTAATTGGAGTCCCAACAAGTCCAATTGAGCCACTCTAAGTCCCACCATGCTCCGTTGAGTCAAATGTATATTCAGAAGGGACTTTGGAAAACCAGATGAAGTCCTATCAAGTTACAAGGAAAGATATTTATATGGAGACCCCACTGGCCACCATGCACCATTGGTGTATGTTGTTGGGCTTCACAAGATAGTTTCCTTTTTTATGTCACCACCAAAAAGTTTTGACATATTGTTATAGTCTACATTTTTTTATGGCGGTTGGTGGTTGACGGTTGTTGATCTGTGTCTCTAACAAATTCTTACAACTTCCAATAACTTAACAAATACTGTTTGGACCAGCTCCAATTTTTTCAAAATCATCTACAAGTTTTCAGAAGTTCAAATCTGACTTTATATCTAAGATTTGACCTTCAATGACCTTTCCAAAGTCAAAAAAAGATAAAAAGGTCAAAAAGGTATTTTTTAACTTGCTTCAAATCAACCAATTTTTTATTCAAAATCATCTACAACATATCAGAAGTTCAAATCTGACTTTATGTTTGAGATTTGACCTTCACTGACCTTCTCAAAATCAAAAGGGTCATTTTTCAACTTGCTTCAAATTGACCAATTTATTTTTCAAAATCATCTACAAATTATCAGAATTTCAAATCTGACTTTAGATTTGACCTTCACTGACCTTCTCAAGGTCAAAAAAGGTAAAAAAGGTATTTTTTCAACTTGGTTCAAATTGACCAATTATGTTTTCAAAATCATCTACAAGTTATCAAAAGTTCTAATCTGATTTTAGATTTGACCTTCAATGACCTTCCCAAGGTCAAATAGGTATTTTTTCAACTTGCTTCAAATTGATAATTTTTTTTCAAAATCATCTACAAATTATTTGAAGTTCAAATCTGACTTTAGATTTGACCATAACTGACCTTCTCAAGGTCAAAAGGGTCTTTTTTTTATCTTGCTTTAATTCGACCAATTTTCTTTTAAAATCATCTTCAAGTTCTCAGAAGTTCAAATCTGATTTTAGATTTGAGATTTCACCTTCAATGACCTTCTCAAGGTCAAAAAGGTCTTTTTTCAACTTTCTTCATTTGACCAATTTAGTTTTTCAACATCATCTACAAGTTCTAAGAAATTAAAATCTGACTTGATATTGAACTCATAATATTGTGAGCAACTAGGTGGTGATATTTTGTCATATAAATGCCTTGTAATGTATTGTAATTCAAGCTGTTTACATTTCAGGAGTTGCCCCACCTTCATTTGTTGCAATCCATGCTGGTACAATGCTCCAGAAGTTAACGTCATCTTCTGATGCATGGTCTTGGACTTCAATGATTGTTCTCGCTGTATTAGCAGTACTCTCACTTTTACCTGTTATATTCAAAAAGAAACTACAGAAAAAATTTGATTGATTTGAGTATGGAATTTGATACAGCCATTAGGAGAACAACAGTTTATATTAACAGTTTACCATCAGCTATTAGATACTCAGGAATTCTGCACAAATTATACATTAACTGAACACGACAGTACTAGAAATTTCATTCCAATTTCAGAAACTATTCTTCTCGTACCAATGGCTTATTAGAACTCGATTCTATCTAGATAATAGGCCTTTCCAATTAACCCTGCCCCCATTTCATACATCAGAGAAACTATGATACATTGGCTAGATTGATGATGTCATTGGTTTAAATGGCAATTTGTCCAGGGTAAAATAGGATTACCTTATTTGTAATTTTGGCAAATTAACACGTATGACATCATCACTTTGATATACTAAAAGATGCTATGGTTTCTTTTCTTCTTTTTCTATTAAATAAAATAATTGCATTGGTAGATTTATCATATAATTTGGGTCAACTTATTACTTGTGTGAAATAGACACATGTAAAATCTTGTATGTTGACAAAATCGTTGAGGTCCATCGTTTTTTTATTGCAATATGGTTGCAGATGACGATAATATGGATGGGAGATGTTTTAAACATCTATCCATCGCTAAATGCTTATGGCATCCTTCCCATAACCGAGAGTTGCCTTATGTGTGTTGTGCATATTTTCAGATATCCTGTCTACTGATAGATACCAGTGGGAAACATTTGACAGTGCAAATGACAGGCAAAAGTACATGTCATAAGCAAAGCGATTGATAGACGTTTAAAATATCGCCCATCCATATTATGATCATCTGCTATATTGTGACCTTTATGCTGGGTGTGTTGGCATAACAACTAAGCGTGTCTACGAGTTTCTAGGAAAATCATTTGAGGGCAGATTGATTTTAGATTTTCATGGATGTTTCTTTGTATGAAAATCTGGAACTGATAAGATTTTAAATTGTCCATTCTAGATATTCTGTTTTGTTAAACTTCAAAAACCTTTCAGGCAAATGGTCAGATAATTTGATGGATATATTTGCAATTTTTTGGTATAAAATTTGAATTAGTTTGATGAGTTAGTTGATTGTTGAAAACTGTTTAAATTTTAAAGGGAGTATTTTGAACTTTCCATCCTAAAATGTTGTACATGTTATGTCCTTATTATACAACAACATCAATTATCATGATATTAATTGTCAAACTTTGGTGTATGAAATCCTCCTTGATATTCTGTTAAAGGATGCTTTATTGTTCCCCCAATGTATTGTTTTGATACTGACATTTTAAAATTTGTAATTTTTATGAGTTAGGAATTTAGATCAGCTATGATGAACTTTTTTGAAAATTACGTTGGGTTAACATTTTGATGAAACCTTATGGAATATTTTTGTCAGCTTGGTAGGTGGGCAGGGTGCAGGATTGGTGTTTTTTCTACTTGGCACATTCTATTCAGACTACTTGGTGGATTTGTTTGGAATTTTTAGGAACATTTCTTGGTATGAAAATCTATGAATTCTTCTGCCTGCAAAATTTAAGGCATCAATTCTTTTAGTTGCAATATTGTTCACTGTGTGCCTTGTTAATGTAGCAGTTTCAATTGATTTGAAAGATAATACCAACATGCAAATTTGTCAGCATTATCAGTTCTAAGATATTTGTATTCATCTTCAACTGCAAAGATAAAGACATTAACTTTAAATAAATTGTAACATCACTTTAACCGAAAAGAAAGAAAATGATCAAAAAAACAAAATCAGTTTGTGATATTCTAAAATTATAGACATACAACATGCATTCTTGCAGTATTTTTGCAAATTGTGCTGCATATCCTTGCAGTTTTTTTGGCAAGTTACCCCTCCCTAAAATGAAATTAATGATCTTGTGGATGAACATGGATATATGCACCTTGTCGTAAATTCTTTATGGAATCAGGTATTTAGAAAATATTGATCTGCATTGTTTTCATTGTAAGGCAATACTTATTAAATCTCACATGAGCCTTGTCCATGTCATGTTTTTAACTTGATTTTTAGTGAAATTCTTTTATGTACCTCTCGTATGTCACTTCTCACGTGGCTATTGCAATAACCTACTTGTTGTACTTTGATTTTGTTATTGTGCAATGTCTGTATTATTGTTATATTGTATTGTGTGTACTTGAACTGACAAAATAGTAACACAATTGAATCTAGTGGAATCACGGATGGGCTGGTTAGGTAAACTTTTGTAATGCACCTACTGACTTGCCAACTCAAAAATTCTGAGGAAGCTTTAAAATAATTCACTGATTATCTTGGACAATTAACCAAAATACATATCCCCAAACCAGCTAAGAATGGAAGTCCTCTGTATGTGACTGCATACATTCATTAATTTTACAATGTACAAGTGCTCAAAGCCAAACTAACATGGCCCATCCTTGAATAACATGTAGAGTTCAATGTTTTGTAACACCAGCAGCAGCTGGAATTGTATTTCCCACATAGTGTGTGCCAAATTGCTTTCTAAGTGGCTTAGTTAGGCTAAACCTATGTTGTGGTAGCTTACTATGAATTGACCCATAGTCATTTTAGATTGATCTATTATCTATTCATTTTTACTTGTCTGCATTCAACAAAGTGACACGAAAGGGCTAAACGGCTTGCACCAAGGTGCGACCGTCAAAAAGATGAGTTTGAAAAATATACATTTTTTTAAATAATACTTGTAAGTATACAAAATAGGATGCAAATTTGATATTGATGTGTAATGATAGTCCATTCGGGTGTCGTAATTTTATGAAAAACAATTTTGGTAAAAAATTGGATATTTATGACCTTAAAATGCGTTTTCAATTGAAAAGTTACTGTTGTCAAGGATATTATTCCTATTTTATATAGCCAATGTCTTTTAAATATACCAATAACCATTTCATTAGTTTTTGACAAAGTAAATAATTATAGGGCTCACACAAGGATCAACTTTGTTCACAGCATTTTCATTTTAAGTGATGTTTTGAAAAAATACGAAGGTAAGCTCAATTTTATCTTTTATTTGTTGAAGAAAAAATAATTATATGTTTGTTTTCTTGTTTCGACTGAAAAATCTCAATTCATCGCCCTTGCTTTGCAAGCAGGAGAGTCTACACCAGTACGAAAAAGTCTTCAAAAATTTGATCCTTGTGTGAGCCCTACAATTATTTACTTTGCTAAAAACTTATAATGGTCATTCGGATATATAAAAATCATTTAATAGGTAAAATAGGAATAGTATCATTGACTTTTGATTTTGAATAAAAAAGTATTACGAGCATATAGTGCATTACTTCCAGGACAACCCTCTATATTCATAGTGATGCAGCAGATAGTGAAGTTGATTCTTTTTAGTTTATAGCTTGCAGACAGTGATCTAAGATATTAAAAGATACCAATTTGCATTACATCAACATCAAAGAAGTTTGATTTGTTCGCAGATACGTGTCAGAGTGATTGATATACAACAAGATAGTATGTGTGAGCATTCATTGCAACATTTACTTATTAATAAGAGTTATAATTTTACTAAATCTGATGGAAAATCTTTTTGGTTTATTCAATTTAAATATTACTTTTGCTATACAGATACCTTAGTTTTGAAACATTCATTTCAAAAAGATCAGTTTTCAACTTCGTATGTTTTGTTCATAAAATGTGTATTCAACATAGGTCAAAAGTCAGGGTCATTTCAAGTTTAAAATATCAATATCTAGGGTAGTTGGCATTTTAAGACATTTTGCCGATGGTGTGACCCTTCACAACCAATGACAATGATTATGTGACCTGAGGTAAAGGTCAACTGAATGGGTGTAGGTAATTTCAAGGTCAATATCTAGCAATTTGATGTTTTAAGGCAATTGAGAATAATTCTGACCTTTGACAACCGATTATTAGGTGACCTGTTGTCAAGGTCAAGGTCTATAGGTCAAGATAATTTCAAGATCATCAAGTCATCAAGTATTTGGCGTTTTTGGGCTGAGGTTACCCTTTGTGAATCATGAATGTGTGACCTGAGGTCAAGGTTATTCCAAGGTCAAATATCAGTATCTAAGTACTTGGTGTATTAAGGCCCTGCTGTGGCCCCTAGCGACTCATGATATGGTGACTTTCAAGGTCAATATCTAGCAATTTGGAGTTTAAAGGCAATTGAGAACAAGTCCCCGTGATAAAAATGATATCATCCAACTTCTTCACTTGAAAAAAAAACATCATGAATCCCCCTCAACCTTTATTTTTCAACTAATTTTTTATGATTTCATTCTGGTTTGATTCCTTGACAACTTAATGATACACTACATGATTTTACTACTATATGTACGGGTATAAGCATCACCTGTGTTATTAATAATATTTGTAATTATAATGCTTGAATGTATGAATAAATTAAAATTGAAAATATAAATATATGAAAATATATCTGGAATATTATTGATAACACCCCCACCTTGTCACTTTTTGAAAAATATAAGGCTTATTTTTTAAAGTATTTTTTCTTAATTTGATTGTATCGAAAGTTCTTCTACGCTAATGAATTAACAAATTCTGAAAAGAGGACGGGTATTGAAATGCGATAAAGTTAAAAAACACAAATTCCATGTTATTTTCCATTAGAAAAACTAAAACTATCCATTGTTTTCAGCATAATTTTGGTCATTGAAAATTGATATCTCCAAAACTAGACTTTCATTACAATTCTACAAATGAAAAGGTTTTAGACCACTTGTTGAATAATATTTTCATGCAATTCAAATAAAAAAGAAGAACCTCTGTTGAGTAAATAAGTTCAAAAAAGTGTTGAGATGGGTTCCCTATTCATAGTTCTTTAGATTGTTCGAATGATATTTTTATTATCATTGAGAATTGAATTTTCTTGAAAGATAACATATTGTGTTTTTGAGAAATGTCATATTTATATTGAGAAAGTAGTCATGGTAAAATATATTATATGACCGTCAGATATCACTTGCCATACTATATCTGGTCCTTTGCCAATTTGAAGTAAATTATAAAATCATATCAGAAGAGAGGATATACAAATATGAGGTCATTAGTTTAATGACTGCAATCAGTAATCAATGGTCACGTTGACGAAGTTTTTCACGAGAATTACTTTCTCCAGTAGTTCTGAATTAGATTGGTAAGCGGATGTGTTTCTCAAATTTAAATAATGATAGCCCATTAGGGTATGGTTATATTATTAAAAACAAGTATGGTAAAAATTGGGTATTTCTAACCATATAATGCTTTTTATTCCAAGTTCAATGACATTCTTCCTATTTTACCTTTGAAATGATTTTCATACCACTGAATAACCATTATATCAGTTTCTAGCAAAGTAAATAAGTGTAGGGCTTACACAAGGATCAACCTTTTTTAAGACTCTTTATGAACTTGTATATCCCCTGCCGTTCTAAGAGGAAGAGCAATGAATTGCGATTTTTCAGTCGAAACAATGAAATGAACACAATATGTTTATTTTGTTAAACATTTTACAAATAAAATTGTGTTTAACCTTATATTTTTTCAAAACATCACTAAATATGAAAATATTGCAAATGGAGTTGATCCTTGTGTGAGCCCTATATTTATTTACTTTGCCAAAAATGAATATAATGGTAATTAAAATATTTTGAAAACATTGAATAGGTGAAATAGGAATATTATCATTAACAACCATGACTTTTGAATTAAGATGGCATTTTCAGATCAGAAATATATAATTCTTCACAATTATTGTTTTTTATAAAAATGGCCACA